TCTATCTATCTATCTATCTATCTATCTATCTATCTATCTATCTATCTATCTATCTATCTATCTATCTATCTATGATCAAGCGTTTATTTCTATCCTTGCTGAAAATGAACCTGTTTAATTATTTATATATTTTGACCACCATAACACCAGTTAGGGAGAAGAAAACCACTCTGATCATCCCATCAGTGTGTTGGGTTTTGAACATACAGCCCATTACCAACAGGCAGAGCACCAGATGGCATCTGCTGCCCTGGCAGAGACACGGCTGGAAATGTCGGAGCCAGCCGCTGTTGCCTTAAATCGTGCCAGCAAACTGTCAAGATCAGATCTACTTGATCCAAAATCAAAATATGTCAACATCCGGAAAAAATAATCACCAGTGTTACTATTGTTAAATCGCACTGGGGTTTGTTATAATACTCTCAACTGTACTTCCTCACTTCTCTCAGTCATAACTGATGCTCAGACAACTTCAGAAGGTATTTTTTACTTTACTTTTTTACCCAGAACATTTACACATTTACTGAATGTAACAGTAATTATTAGACCAGAATACTGAATTCAGAATCATTAAAGCACCTCCAACCATATGCATCTATCAAAATGAACTAAAATATCATCTTCTTTAAGGCAAAGCTGAAGGCTGGTATAGTAAGATAAGTTTTTCTATCTTTAATGTGTTTATGAAACACAAACAAGATTTCAAAATGAGATGGAAAGGTATTTAATTTGCAGTTTTAAATGAATTAAAATAAAAAATGGATTGGATTGACAGGACCAATTTTCTGTACTACAGCCAAAGAACAAAATTAATAGGTTAAATCATTATATTTGTCACTGGTATCCAAATATTGTTTAATGTGTTTTCATAAACTTGAAAAAATGTATCCCTGTCCAGCAGGTGGATTGGTTTGGTTTTTCAATTTAAAATTAGTAAGTCATTTTTCATCTGCTGAAAATGGCAGGTATCAGAAACTCAGGTTTAATTAATCTGTACAATTCAAGCTTTTTTTTTTTAACAATATTTATTTTTAGTGTTATGGGTGGCTCCTGGCAAAACTTATAATGGAAAATCTGAAAAATGACCTGCACAATACGTACTGAGCCTTTTTAAATCGAAACCTAATGCTGGAAATATTGTTTCAGCTCCCCCCCCCCATGTGAAAAGACAAATTTGTATAGCTAACCCTCCAGCCTGTGCAGCTTACTCTTTTTCCCTCCTCCTCAGCAGGTGCTCCTCTGTGCTGGTTGTCTGGGGTGTCATCTTTGCTTGGTGTCTTTGGGGGTGCGGGGTTAGGAAAAAGCCCCGCCCGCCCGCCCATCATTTCCTTTTTCTGTGTTTTGTATATGTACGTATGTGTCTCTAGAAAACAATCGGATAAGCGGCATCCTGACCTCGCAGACGGAGCCCTACGACCTGTCATTCTCGCGCTCCTTCCAGAGCCTGTCACACCTGCCGCCCTCCTATGAGGCGGCCGTCAAAGCCGACCTCAGCCGGTTCTCGTCCCTGAAGAAACTCAGTAGGTCCAAGTTCACTGCACTAATGCAAGAGTAGGCTCCCCGCCCCGGTGCCCTGCATGATATAAGTGCTGCATTAAGTGTGCTTCCCTGACTCCCGACCGGGACTTACTGAGGAAACTCCAGAGTGTTCCCTCTGTAAAGATGGTTTTACCTGCTCTACCGAGGACTTCAAACAAAAAAACGCAGCGATACGCATTTTTCTGGAGATTTTCCTGCTCCGACTGAGTAAACATTTGAGTTGGCCAGAGACAGTTTTGAATAAGAGAAGCCTCCGTTTTTCTCTGCTCCGATCTGTAATAAAATCAGTCAGGTCGCCTCCAAGAAGCCGGCGATATTCCACGCTCTCCTCGTTTCCACTTTAGCCGCCGCCACTATTTCTCTCGGAGCGTAAACGTGCACTAAGCGGCTTCTTCTGCCTGCCCTGGCTTGGAATTGATTCGGCGAGGCCACGCTGGATTTCTGCCGCTTAATGAGGTCGTGTCTCGTGATATTTTCTAAGCCCGACGCAAATATTCCCGAAGGCCTGTGTAATTTCATCGTGACTGCCCCACTTCACCGCTGGCAAGCAGTCAAAGAGAAAGATGACGATCGGCGGCTCCCGTCAGGGTTCACGCCACTATGGCTCCCACTTGTAGCTGCCAGGCACCGTTTCAGAGCACCTTCAATAGAAAGATGGCTTTGCTGCACAGACCGCTTGCTGTCCTCATCATTTTTACTTGGAAAATGCCTGTAAGAATGAGTGGAATAGTTTTAATGGATTGCAAAAAATGCTAAAACCGAAAATTAATTTAATTGCAAGCAACTGAAGTCCAACGCAAAAGACAGTGACGGAATACAAATATCCCTAGGTTGTGTCCTTCAGTCTTCCTAACTTTCTTTCGACATCCAAAGCGCATTATTTGTCAAAGCAAATAGCCGGGAGGCTCCGATGTTTCTTTTTGTTGCTCAACGAGTATTTGCACACTGATAGATCATGATGGATTGTGCTGGAGGGAAGACAGTGCTGCGGTTTCATTGTTGAGATAATAACCGAGAAGAATGCTACAGCTTATTAATGCAAATTGGTATCAAACGCAAGAAAAAGCATTTAGCCCGTTGCAGTGCAGGACATGCTAAGTTGTTCATTCACCATGCCATGATACTGTTAATGAGCTTCCAATGGGCCGCCGAGATCTTGAGGACCATCATGCTTGAGAAGGGAATATTTAGTTTTTCCGATCTCTCCTATCGAATAGATTGTCAGCCATCACCCAATGAGATTTTGCCCAAAAGGAAATCTGGACAGTTGGCATGAACAGTCATTGTTGAAAAAGGTGGCCGCATACGCAAAAGTCACGAAGGAGATCTCAACAAGATGGGACGTCTACCATCTGTAATTAAATTCCACCGCACCAGAAACCCTTGCATTTCCATTGTACTCAATATGACGGTTAACCAGTCATTCGTAGTCCTATGAATGTTTCCATTTTCAATCAATTTTACGCTGCCGTCTTTTGACAAGCTGTCTGATGCGATTTTTTATAAATGTGCACCACCACATGTGTGATTATGTACTCAAGGACTTGTCTTTCTGCATGTGTTTGTGCTGTGTGGCATGACTTTGATGCTCCGTTCCCTCCTACTCTCTCTTGTCTTTGGAAGTGTATTCCTGTCTTTTTGATCTGGCTCTGAAAGCATGTTCTCTTGTTTGCGTAGTAGACATGAGTGAGGATAAAGCATCCACTCAAGGATAAGAAAACACTTGCGGCTCTCGGGATGATTTGATTATGCAATAATACTATTAGTTTTCCAGCATGTGTATAAGAGGTGCCTGCGAGATTTTTTCTGTGTCTGTACCGTATGACCGTTTTCATTTGTAGACTTTTAAAATGACCTTTAGAAATTTTACCCCACAGCCAGTACTGCCTGTAGAATCCCAGATGAAGCCCGGATATGTGGATGCTATGTGCCTAGCATGTGTTATCTGATCATCTGCCTCTGTTTTCTATTCCCCTCCATGAGCTTGGAAAAGGTGAATCGCAGATGGGTGCACCGCCACTGATCTTTGAATCCTGTGCAATGTTTTCCACTTTCACTTGATCCAATTTCTCCCCTCCCATTCAAACACCTACCCACGTGTCCCTGTTCTATTGCCTCGCAATATCTCCTCTTCACCTCTCGCCTCTGTATTTTTCCATTTCTTCAGCGGCAGATAAAGACGTGGAAGAGTACTACACCCGTAAGCGACACCTGCCCGACCTGACAGCAAGAAGCACTCTTCCATTGCATGTTCTCAAAATGGGTCAGGAACAGGTGCGTACACGAATGCACGATTTCTGATATGGCCCTAACGAAGAAAGACACCCTCATTCAATTTAGTCAATACAGGAACATTTTCTGGTTCTTCATACAAATACATTTATAATAACCTTGGATGATCAGTAAGATATGTAACATCACACTATGTTATTATTTCAGATAAGTCAGCTACTGATATTCAAAAGTAAGTAGCAAGTAGGAGCACCAGTGTTAAAATAGAAGTTTCTTATTCTTTTGGTTTCCTGGAGAACTCAGTTGCACAAACACAATTCCAAAGAAGAAGAACATGAGGTGTGATCTCAGAAAAGTAGTTGTTGCCATTTCAAAACTATTTGGCTTCCATCATCTACAGAATTATTTATAACTGGGATGATTCAACTCAATCCTAGGGGTGGAGAAGCAAATTCACTCCAAAGTCAGACTGTACAAGAAAAAATATTACCCACAAAATCGTCATTCCGATTTTGTGATTCTATTTTTAGAAAAAAAGTCTAAGCAAGTCTGGCCTATTTGGAAAGGTCACAGGAGAAAAATCCTATCTCTTAAAAGAACATGACAGAACAGCTTACGTCTGGGAAGTTATAGCTGGACACAACACAAGGCCAGTACTGGACCAGTAATTTTTACAGATGAGTCCAAAGTGTACATGCTTGAAAAAAGCCAGCATGTCAACGCAAAGGCCTCATTCATACCCTATAGCCTCACTTTAGCATTAGCTTTTGCGGCCCCATGACCTGGACCCTGCAGTCTTTAAGTCGACTCGCGGGTTGCACTACGATTTCGTTAAACTGATACTGACACGTTTTATGCCACATGTAGCTGTTGATCTGAGGTTGATTCATGTCTAAATATGCAAAACTTAGAAATTAAAGAGGGTGTATTTTGTGTATGTACTTTTTGTATGTACTTTTTTATGACTCTGAATACATTGGCCTTTACTTCTCAGTAGTGGGTGGCAGAGTTCCTCTTGTGTTCCTCTTCACCTGAATAAACTGACCTCGTTCATCTTTTGCTTACTAGCATCGGGAACCGCAGCAGCATCCAAGTCAACCCCCACAGTCCTCTATCTCCCAAGCGCCCCCCCAGTCCCAGTCTTCACAGCAGCAGTCACAGCAAAGGCAGAGGCCCCGTCGTGTCCAGAGGGCCATGTCCCAGGACCGAGTCCTCTCCCCGCAAAGCGCCCCGCACCCGGACTACAGCATGGCTTCCAACGGCATGTCCCCGTACGGAGGCAGGATTCTCTCGGACGAACAGCTCCTATCAGCCGAGCGTCTTCGGTCCCAGGAGCGCCTCCTGCCACAGGACCGCCACACGTCTCAAGATCGCCTGTACTCCAAAGACCGGATGTACTCCAAGGACCGACTCCTCTCGCAAGAGCACCTGTACTCGAAGGAGCGGCATTACTCCCAAGAGCGCCTCTACTCACAAGATCGGCTGTACTCACAAGACCGCCTCCTGTCCCAAGACCCCCTGCTCTCACCAGACAAGCTGGTGATGTCGCTGAAGCGCGGCATGGTCAGCAGCGTCTCCGGCGGCTTCCGCGGCAGCGACAAGTCCATGTCGCGCGCCATTTCCCACACGGACGTGTTTATACCCACCACTCCCCTCATGGATCGATACAAGATGACCAAAATGCACTCCCACCCGAGCGCCTCCAACAACGGAGGCGGAGGGGGCAGCGGTGGCGGTGGCGGCGGGCCGCCGGGAGCGGGGGTGGCCGTGCACTCCAACACGTTAGCCATGAACCACACGGCTACTAAAAGGCAGGCCTTCGCCTCCAGACGGACTCACACCGTTGAGCAGCTCCACTACGTCCCGCAGCACCACCAGCAGCAGCAGCAGCAGCAGCCGCAGCACTACCGCACAGGCAGCAAGACTGAGGTGACTGTGTGAACAGCAGCCAGAGGCTAACCTGAACTGCACTGGAGAAACACCGCGGCGTGCCCGAGAGCGAGGCCTGACACGATTGAAGAGTACGTTGGTCACCTTCTGGTGTGGGATGGTGTGGGGTTTTACTTTCTTTGACCGAAGCTCCCGCGGAGTCAAAGATTCCAGGACCAACATAATCCGATAGCTTACTGTGAGACCGGAAAACCAATCTACACTGTACACTGCATACACGGGCCCGGCGAGATCTAAGCCAGAGAGGGTTGTGGATTGGGGTTGTTTATTGTTACCTAGATAACTTGTCTAGTATGATTTCCAGCGTCTTGATTTTCCTTTTTGTCCACAATCAGTGGCCTGGTCCTGTATACGAAACACTTCTAACGTCCGTTTAAGCCTTTTTCAAGCCCCTTTATCCAACAAATCTGTTCCATGACCTTTTCTGGCATATCTTAAAGGGCTTTGCATGGTTAAACACAAGAACTGATTCCTTCGTGACTTCTGTTGTGAGACACAACACCACCACAGGTGATGAACTGGAGTGAGCCTGTTATGACTTTATAGATATATAAATAAAGGAAATTTAAAAAAAGAAACAATCATTTGTACACCCCATCCTACTCATAGCTCTAGAGAATCTCAATGAGAAAAAGTGGACAATATCAGCACTTAAATGTGGTGCCTCTTACATATGTTCCATTTCTAAATACAAAGTGGTTTTGTGGGTTACAAAGCACAATCAATACGAAATATTCTCCTCTGGTTTAATCTTTGCGTTTAAATAGTAATTGCTAGCTTGTTTTTTCTTCTTTTTTAAAAATTAAATCAATGGCTTTCCTCCCTTTTTCATTTTTGCTTCCAGTAGACAATTGTAAATAAGCTATCCTAGGAGCAGTATCATGGACAAGTCTATACTGGATGGACTTTGTATTAGACTGTCTGTTTTCAATAGATTCTTTAAGAAACAGCTATAAATCATCACTGTTTTGTGAGTTCAGAATAGAAACCCACTTAACCAAGTATTTGACAAGATAAATTAATATTATACTGTGTGTGTCTTTGCAAAACGATTTTGACGAGATGTGAATGAATGTGAAGTTGATGACAGATATACCGCTGTTCATATTTGGATGTAGGCTGTGGTCCATTGACGTCAAGAGACTTGAATTTTATGGAAATGGATTATATTGCTTGTCAAAGTGGGATCAAATAAACCATCCATATTTTTCTAAACATGCAACATGGTTCCATGGGATGATTGTGTTTTGTATTTATCCTTTAAAAAAAGAGTTGGGAGGAAACATGCCCTCAATATTTGAAGTAACAGAGTGTAATAATCATTGACATTTGGTGTTGAAGGCAACAGAAAACATCTAAAATTAGTTTAATCCATTTTCAGTGCCATAGACCTGTCCAGTGTGGAAAAGTTACCGTTTTGACATGTGAAAGATCAGTTATCTTCATCAGATGTATCCATTCATCCATTATTTCTTAATAGAATAATTTTTACCTTCAAGGGTTAAACTCTGCAACTTCAAAGAACCAAAACGTTTTTGAAGCTCGTGATGCCCATTCAATGTGCAATACCAAGCATTGCTCAGAAAATAAGAGTTAAAAGAAAGTTTCGTACATTGTCACTCTGGTGGATCTTAGGGAACCGTCAGTTTTCGACCATAAATGGATTTGACCTAAACTAAACCCTTGAAGATGAACACAAGTTAAAGCCCGGTGCTGTGGTCTATCTTAGCTAGCATTGGATGATACCCTGCACAGTTTGCCAGCCAATCATAGGGCCATGCACAGACAAAAGAAGACAAACCACCATTGTCTTAACACACAATTTTTTTAGCAAGGGACAAAGAATGGGATGTGAGTGGAATTACCCACAGAGAGTATCCTCTTAAGATGTTAACTGTATACGTTGCACAGTTGGGTTATTCTTGATTTTCCAGTTGTAAAAAGTTAATTTACAAAGCACCCTCAATAGCATCTCTGCAATGACACATATAGAAGCACCAATGGCTGATAAAAGTCTGACGGAACCACATAGTTCTAAACTAGATCAAAGCAAAGAAATCTAATAAAAGTCTCGAGCTGAAATAAACTCTAAGATTTGATGAACAGATGATGTTTGAAGACTTTTGAAGGCCAAAGATGTGACACTGTAAGCATTAGCAGAGATGCTAGTGCTTACATTAGCATATCTGGCTAAGAACTCTGGCTAGCTATAGCTAAGCGGTCTTCGGTGGCAAACACAAAACAGGTGAAAACTGTGGCAGTTTTGGATGTAGCAGAGCCTGTTCAGGGCTTTGGTGATAGCCCAAACAACCATCCATGATGCTAGTCCAGAGGAGAGCTCATGGATGAGGGTATCTGCAACAGGGAGGGAACATCAGAATAAGAGTTTGTTGGGATGTTTTTTAAATAAAAAAATCTAATTTTGTTGTAAATTTTATTTGGTTCATAGTGAAAAAGCTACAATGATTTAACCTTCCTGTGAAGTGTCACAGGGACTATGATCTTTCTGTTTAAAATAACAGCGTGCTTAGCTGTAACCATAAAGGTTTTCTGGTACTTTTGAATTAATTTCATACATTGGCATGTCCAGTTAGGAAACGTGCACTGTGTTACAAAAAAACAATCATTTTGTCCCTGCCTTCTGAGGTGTAGGCAAACTAAAGATTACATCTGTCTCTGGAGCTACTCCTCTCCAGAAAAAATTAAGTGTTTGTATAGTTTTGAGTCTAATCTGCTAACTGAATGAATAGAGATGGGGGCATTGCACACCTTATCGGACAGTACGTTTCATATGTCAACTGACGGCTTCAAGATGATATATAGCAACTGCTGGCCTTGCCGGGGCCTCACTGAGATCTGAATTAATGTCAACGCCATTCAAGCCTTTTTTACATTCATTGAAATCCACGGGTGTGAATTCTCCCGGCAAACATCAGTGCCTCCAATTGCGTTCCTCTACAAACACACGTGAAAGACACGGATAAGAAAAACGGCATAAGTTTGGCTTTCCAATTTGCAGATTCCCTAAGCCATCAGCATTTAAATGAAAAATATAAGATTGGAGGGAAAACGAATCAGTGAATCTGAGAGCAGTTTAAACATGAGAGGTAAGATGGCTGTGATATCCAGGGGACAGTGGGAATAGCACAACAGTGGCCATGACTACAGGCTGACATCAAATATTCAACAGCTTTCAAACTGTCTCTCCACATCTCTTGTGGCAAACATTTTCTCAACAGGGCATTTCAAGACCCTTTATCATTCTTTTATTGTCAGCGTGATCCCTGGTTGGGTGTTTTTCTTTTTTTGTTGGTTGAGGGTTCACTTGAATTTTCAGCCATAGTGATGTCAGTTAGAATACTCAGCGAGCCAGTCAGGGTCTGGATTTGAAATAGATGTTCTCGGTTTTCGACACTTCAGAAAGTATCACTGTGACATCCAGAGAGCACCAATCAGCCGAGCAAAGAGGGAAAATATAAAGCTGCAAGCGCAGGTGTCTTGGAGAAGAAAACGCTGCCGTGGCGGCGAGAATGACAGGTCTATAATCCCAAAGGGGACGCGGTTTGTTGTTCCTTTTCTGTTCTTCTTTTGTGCCTGGCTGTGGATATCTCGCGAAAGGTCAGAAGAACATGACAGTGGCTCCGCTGCTGCCAACACATCGAGTGTTTTGGGCACACACACACACACAGCAACACACACACAGTGAGGTTCAGCCGGGTTGTGTTCAGGCGTGTCATTCCTTCTGAGTCGTAAACCAGGGATTGCAAGTTTTACTTGCCAGCCGTTCCTTTAGCCGCTCTTTCACAAAGGATGGCTAATGTGTGCGGCATTAAGCGGCCGAGTTGATGCCTGTCAAGAAACCACCGGGATTCTACCCAGACACAGAACGAATAAGAAACAAACCAACAAACAAAAAAGTTTACGCATCCCCGCTTCATCCCTCACCGATGCTACTCGGAGAAATGTAAATCTTCAGTTTGATAGCGTTTGCTTCCTGTCACACCGGTAAAAAAACATTCCCAGATTGTCGAACAGACAGCACATCAGCGGCCAGCTGCCTCTGCGAGCTTTTCCTTGACAGCCTTCCTGTGCGGCTGTTGCCAGACTGTTCGCGGAATGAGCTTACCGTTGGCACGGTGTTGAAACGGACATGTGCGAGAAAGGGTCTACGTTTCTTGAATGACATACATAATGAGACCGCTCGCATGCTGGGTCTGCAAACCCTCAGGGGCTGCATGTCCATAGAATTCTAGGCAAAGTCGAAACTTTCCAACAACTCATTCATAAAGTGCTGCATTTCATGGTCGAAGACAGAAAAAAAGTGCTCCTCCAGTACAGATTTCAGTCCTGTCTATGCAAACACACAAAACCCATCCATCCATTATCGTTACCGCTTATTCCCTAATGGGGTCGCAGGGGGAGAACTGGAGCCTATCCAAGTGGTCAATGGGCGAGAGGCGGGGTACACCCCGGACAGTCTATATAACTGCTTTTGCACCACCATCAAGACATATTTTGGGATAAAGCACTCAGTGTCCTCTATCTATGACATGACAGCATGAGTGGTGGTGGTGGCCAGTGAGTTGACCCCTAGAGATACTCACCTTGCCTGTACTTCTATACAGCTATCTGAGCTTGGTCCTCACCGGGTGTAATCAGACTGCAGGGATCTTACTCAGAACCAACGTTGAAGGCTGTAATTGCTGCTTGCGGGTTAAAACACATATCTGTGATGATTCTCAGTCATCCAGGTCATGGTCAAGCTTGAAAAAGTTCAGTTCAGTAGGCAATTGAATGTGAAGTTTTCTAGAAGACATTTCGCCTCTCATCCAAGAGGCTTCTTCAGAATGACCATTAACCCCCCCCCCCCCCCCAGGTGACCTCCATGGCCCATGCAGTAAGAGGGATCTGAGCCACCTTTTGTCTTTTGTTACACCTACCGTTTATTAATCTCAGAGTTACCCACCATCAGTTAGAGCTGATGAAGCCTC